ATCAGAAAATTGATATACTAGCTGTTTCCAAAACCTGGCTTGATACTTCAGTTGCCGACGCAGATGTAGCTATTCCTGACTTTACCTTACATCGTTTCGACCTAACTGGACATAGAAGACGTGGTGGTGTATGTATCTATGTAAGAGAGACCCTTCCCTCCTCACCAACTCCTTTCAACAATCCTCAGCACCTAGAACTGTTATTCATTAGTGTATACACCAACACCTGCTGTCCACGTCACAAGATCAATATCGGCTGCATCTACAGACCACCATCATCACTAGCTAGCTATTGGGAACACCTAGAGCATTGCCTTGATGACGTTCAGGACACATTGCATACTGATTTCATGTTACTAGGTGACCTCAACGTAGATATGCTGCAGGACAGTGTACAAGTGCTCAACCTTCAGCCTACAAAATGTCATCCTGGCCCCCACGCGCATCCCTAGCAACACAGTCTCTCAGATCACCACCTGGTGAATGCATCTATATCCATCGATCATGCTCTACCTCCATCGCGGAAACAGATAACCATTAGAAAACCAAGCATACGGCATGTGGACACTGAAAAACTCCGAGTAGCAGTAGTGTCAGCGCTAGATAATCTCACCAAGAAGAACATTAATGACAACACAGAGGCATTCCAGTCGAATGTCAACGAAGTAGCACCACTTGAAACGATCACGGTTTCGCTTCAGAAACCACGCCCACAGCCTTGGCTGACAGATGAACTGAGAAACTTGCTGCATCGTAAGAAGCACTTACATCAGGCCTCCAGGCGGCACCCGTCCATGGTATGGCAATATCGCGCCCTCCGTCGAGAATGTAGCGTCATGTCCCGTCGCTTGAAATCAGCCTACTTCCTCTAACAATTCCAGGCTTCCTATCGCAACCCGCGGTATCAGTGGACCCTCATTAACACGCTCACAGGTCGTCGTAAGATACAGCGAACTCCCGCAGCTTCCATAGATCAATTGTCTACGCACTTTAGCTCGATTGTCTCTGATGCCAGAGGACCTGACACCCTGTTTGTTCCTCCAGGTCCAATGCCAGCCACCAGTCTGACCACATTTTCACGTGTTAGTCATGAGGAGGTCCAAGCACTGCTGAGAGAGGTAATCGTCTCCAAAGCCACAGGCTCGGATGGTATCCCCGCAAATATACTGCACACATGCGCTGATGAACTGGCCGGAAGTCTCACTTGCATCTTCAATGAGTCACTGGCCACTGGTATCTTCCCGATCCTTTACAAAATTGCCTCTGTTACCCCACTGCTCAAGGCTGGAGATCCCTGTCCAGCCAGCAACTACAGACCAATTTCCCTTCTCCCGATAGTCTCAAAGCTCCTCGAAAAGATCGTTCTGAAACAGCTGAGAAAGTACATCGAAGACAACCCCGACCTTAACATTCTTCCTCCCCAGCAATTTGCTTATAGGTCCCACCATTCTACTGAGGATGCGCTAAGCTGCGCCATAAACAGATGGCAGTGTAGCTTGGAAGAGCGGAACGTGGTCGGTGTGTTCTTTTTAGACATGAGCAAAGCTTTTGATCGAATCCGCCATGACACCCTCCTGGATGATCTTTTCCAATGCGGCATCGGAGGCACAGCCTTGTCCTAGTTTGCAAGCTATCTGTCCGACCGATACCAGTAGGTTGAATATCGCTGAACTGGTCAGACGGCTACTCCCGTCGCATGCACAAGAGGAGTTCCACAAGGATCGGTGTTGGGACCTGTCCTCTTCATGATACACACAAGAGAGGTACCAACACGTGTAAATAGTGACTCTCTACTCTACGCCGACGACACCTGCCTATCAAAGGCCTGCAAAGTGTCCAACATCTCGAGCATGCTGAGGGTTTTATCAAAAGATTTCGCCGCTCTTAAATCATATTTTGATGGTCGTGGCCTTCTGGTAAACCCAAAGAAAACCGAAGTCCTGATCCTCCATCGTGCCAGTGACTCAATTCCGGTGACTGCATCAGTGCTGTGCGACACGACTGTCATCACTCCGTCACCTACATGTAAGTATCTTGGGCTCCACATCGATGAGCACCTGACCTTCTGACCCCATAACTCCAACCTCCGTGGTAACATTAATAAGAAGCTAGGTGCTTTTAGGCGAGGCAGAGACAACCTGGACGGTAAGGCCCGCCGAGCTTTCTATCTCGGAGTTATACAGAGCAAATTAGAGTACGCAAGCACATCATATTCTCATTCATTACACGCTGCAGAATACGATAAGTTTCTAGGACTGAGCCGCCGAGCTGTTCGTGTTGTATTTGCCTACCCTTCCCATGCTGACATTGAGCCCATTTTGCGTTGTCACAACCTCCACCCACTCAGCCTACGCCTCACTCTTTAAAAGCTTTTCATTTTTACTTTTCGGTGCATCAGGTCCCTTGGCAGTCCCCTCATCTCCCAAATCTTTACGACCCGAAATGATGCTACCCACACTACCTCCCAAACCAGAGGCCAAACATCCAGTAGTCTCTTTCT